AGACAACACGAACCGGCGTCCAAGATCTCCGGAACGGGCGAGATACCACAGCCGTGCGAGTGGGACACCACGGCGTCGGGAGGCGAGCGAGGAGGGTGCTCACAGAGAGGGCGCAACGCATGGAGAAAGGTGTGGCAAGGACGCAAGGTACACGGAGGTCCGGGCGTCTTCCGGCGGCTCGAGACCTAGCAGTAGTCGGGCGAATCGTTCCTGTCGAACTCGTACGCGCCGTCGCCCTTGCCGCCGTTCGCGTCCTGGAAGATGGAGGGCGGCCTCCACGCAGGGAACTGCGCGCGCGCCACGTCGACTGGGCAGCACGTGTAGAGCCCGTCCGAGAACTTGCCCCAGCAGCCGTGGCCGGGCAAGCTGCGCGTGCCGGGAGGGGAGGGGCGCGTCAGAGGCGGAGGCGGGGGTGGGCAGGGCCGGGGAGGAGGCAGCGGCAGGGCAGGGCAGGGGGGCGGAGGAATGGGGGGGGGTGGAGCAAACGAGTCCCCAAAGTGTAGTCCGCGGCGAGGGATTCCGGCCAGCGTCTCGGACGTGTCTCGGAGGTGTCTCGGACGTGTCTCGGAGGTGTCTCGGACGTGTCTCGGACGTGTCTCGGACGTGTCTCGGACTGTCTCGGAGGTGGGAGCGCTCTAGCGCTCTAGTCTCGAGCGTGTGCTCCCTCGCTGCGAGAGCGCGGGGTGCAGGCGGCGCGTCTCACCGGACAGGGACGAGGTCGCCGTGGCACGTCGCGCGCTCGCAGCTGCCGCCCGGGTCGTTGAACGAGTGCCCGCCGTTTGGCTGCGGTTCGTTCGACCAGCCGAAGCAGGGTGCGCAGCAGTCGTTGCCGTCCGAGGAGCACCTTGAGGGCGGGGGGCGGGGGGGGGAGGGGGAAGGGGGGGGAAGAGTGAGTAGTGAGGGAGCCCACAAGAGGGGCCGGTGTGAGGGAGAGGTGAGGGAGAGGCGAGGGAGAGGTGAGGGAGAGGCGAGGAAGAGCGTGCGGTTGTGGGAGCGGGAGAGCCGTGAGGCGGGAGGGGGCATGTGCTGCGTGCTGCGTGCTGCGTGCGTGTGCGTGTGTGGTGGTGGTGGCGGTGGTGTGTATGTGTGTGTGTGTTTTTTTGGGGGGGGGGGGGTGCTCACTGCGTCGACTCGCACGCCGCGAGCCGGCAGCAGTCGGGCGGCGCCGTGTCGGCGCAGGCGATCGGGCACGAGGCGAGGAGCAAGTCGACCTGGGAGGCGGTCCACTGCCACCCCTCCGCAATCCGTCGGCACTGCGCGCCAGGGGGACTTTGGGGTCACGGGGTTGG